AAAACAGAATAAGGCTAAGAATAATCTGTTGAGAATGTCTAACAATGTATTTGCTATTAATGAAAGGGTTTGAAATTGATTAAACCAAGTTTTGGATCGATTGTCACTTTTTTACATAAATAAATCTGATATATCATGGTGATATTTCTAGAGTTGAGTGTCAATCGATACATTTTATACAATTTATATACTTTGTGATTAAGTAGAACCCGTAATATATCAATAAGCGCTCCCTAAACACGTTTGCTTAGTACTTAATGTTCTGAAAATGATTATGCCGCGACAATTGAAAGTTATATCAATGAAAATGCTATGTGTTTCAAAGTGACAACCGAGCACGTGTTCAAGCCGTTTTATATTACATACATGTTTTCATGTCAAATATGCACAATCTTTAAGTGGTCTTCGATAACTTACCTTTGTATTTTATTTAGCATTAACCTAGGTCGATAATTAACCAGATAGATGTGTTTTCTCCCTTGCATATAGACCAGGTTTAATCGCTCGGCATACTACCCTCCCCACACTCACATCTTTCAGTATAAGCTCACTTATAATATACTGCTGGATTGTGTTACATTTCAAAGATATTGACCACAACCGAAGCACAGTAAGGACGTTACATATGCCAATGCAATTCAGTAAACATGTACGTTATACTAAATGCTATATGATTTTCGCGAAACTGATATTCTAAAACACCCGGTAATTCAAAGAGGTTAAATATGCCTTTCATTGCCTTTCAGACAATCAGTTTCAAAAGTCTTGGGACAGATGCCACAAAACCTTTGAATTTCAACAAAACGTCAATCCCCCCGCCCCCTGTTCAATGTTGTGTCCCATTTCTCGTCAGGTTTGATGTGTTTTGGTTGGAGCAACTTTGATTGGGGTGGGGGGACGGGGAGGGGAGCGGTATTGTGTGTAAAAAACTGTAATGATCCACTTACAATCTAAAACTACATGTGTCCCAACAACTTCTGAAAGTGATTGTAGATTGTGTCTACTAGCAAATCTGGTATTATGAGAGTAATATATATATATATATATATATATATATATATATATATATATATATATATATATATATATATATATATATATATATATATATATATATATATATATATATATATATATATATATATATATAGTACAAAAATGCACGGCTGGACCCAGGGTCTTGGTTTCAGTTTTGATTTCAGGTTTCAGCTAACTGGATGGAACGTTCCATTGATCATGAAAATGGTACTTTTTGATATCACGTGATCATAATCAGCCAGTCATTTGACGACAATTTAATTGCGTGTTACAAAATTTATTACATGTTGTTATGTCACATAAGGCCTTGGTCAGGTACCAATTGGGAGAACGTCCTTGTTGATTTAACCCAAATAGGTATATTTCTAAGTTAACCTGGAAAATTTTAAGCACAGTGTTTTTAGAGCATATCGTTGTTTTGGTTTGTTATTATTGTTACGGAAACCATATCCCTATCATTTATCAGCCTTAAAGTTAAAAAAAAATTCAACGTTTCACCTTGCATGGCGTAACAGCAAATGGCCCCAGGTATATACAGGGTGTCCCAAAAAAATGTCCCCTGTCATATTTGGTGGTATTACTTCGCTATAATTAATCAAAGGTTCAATTTTTTTGCAGTGGGTTGAAAAACGATCATATTATATTAATCGTAGTATTTATCTCACCAAAATACTTAACCGTTCGGCTTCTAGAGATACTTAAGGTGGCGACACCAATTTTGCAACCCGTCCAAATTACAGAAATTAGGTTAAAAATAATGCAAACTTTGTAGAAGGATTTCTAAAGTTTCTAGCCACCTTTCTGCTCAAAATAAAAAGTTTTTGATCTCTATTATTAAACTTTTGTTTCGTGTAGAAATTAATAAAAAAAGATGAAAAATCCCTGGCAAATTGACAAAGGCAAAGCTAAGGTTGGGAAAATGCCTTACATTTGCTGTTTTCCGTTCAATTTGTTCCATGAAAGAGCAAATGTTGGGATTTCAGCATTAGTCTTTCCCCTTTTCTGGGGATTGCTTCATTATTTTTACAGAAAATTAATTCGCGATTTTGGCTACAACTAATTACAAGTTTTAGAAAAGATATGTAGCCATTTACCATTAAAATATTTTATTACGTTCCGTAATATGTTTAAACCTAATATCCTCAATTTGGACAAGTGGCAATATTGGTGTCGCCACCTTAAGTAACTCTAGAAGGCGAACGATTAAATATTTTGGTGCGAAAAAAATGCAACGATTAACGTAATATGTTCATTGATAAAAACAATTTTAAAATTTGAATCAGTATTCGATTACAGGTAGCGATGTAGTACCACAAAATATGATAGGGGACATTTTTTTGGGACACCCTGTA